ACTTATCTGGTGTTAGCAATGAACCGTATTATCCATTTTCGGCGTAATTCTTGCAGTTGAGATCTTCTGGCCTGCCATTATCATCATCTTCCACCTATTAAGAGTGAAACAAGAAATTGTTTGTTGAATCTATCTGGTTGAATCTTCAGGCGGTTTTATTAACCTTCTATTTGTATTCTTCTCATGAGGTTAATTTCTTCTACAAAGAGTTACATGCATATGCAGGTCTCAGCACCATTCATTATAACTGTGCCCTCTGCTTAGCACGTACTACTGTACTCTAAACGAAAGAATCTGCGTACATTCTTGCCTGTGCGCTCGCGTGCGTGTATTCATCAACTGTATTTGTGTTTGTGATGGCTGCATCGGTGAGAGTAACCTAGCCTCAAATTAAATCTTCCTAACGTGTTTACGCGTTTTAATTTCTGTACGATCTAACTGCTCCGTTCAAAGCAGGTGTAACTGCAGACCTGGAGAATATGCAAAGAACCTTCACTGCTCGTATAAATTCAGTCTACCAACTAAATTACTGGGAACTTTTCGAAGTCCCTAGATCTGTACTCCTGAGAACGTAGGCAAGAAAGATACATTATAAAAATTTTCAACATAATCATTTCATACATAAGGGAGGATGTTAAGAGAGAACTTGGCAAGTTCCTCAAATTAGTTCCTAATCAGCCGAGGTGTATGCATACATTTGCCTTCGTTTGGCTAGCAGAAACAATCTGGTTAGGCAAAAGGACACAAGTGCAACTAATTTGACATTTTATTGTGGCAACGTTTCGCTCTCGAGGAGCTTTTTCAGGCTGTAACGGCCTGACAAAGCTCCTGCAGAGCGAAACGTTGCTACAATGAGATGTCACATTAGTTGTACTTGGGTCCTTTTACCTAACATATTGTCGGTAATTCTACCAACATTAATAAAACAATCTGGTTGATTAGTCCATTCACCGGGAGGCCTGGTTCCGAGGGTCAATGGGGAACACTCTCCGGATAGCCGCATGCAAAATTCAATATCAGTTATAACATTATATATTTTAGATTAGGTTAGCTTACCTTAATCTAAAATAAACAAATTTACGCATAGTTAACGGCTAATAAGCATATTACATAAACCGGAGGTAACTTCTGAGGGATACACAGCAATTGCTTACCTGTAACCGGCTTCGAGGGCGCTGCTATCGTGTCAACCCGGTCTGAGATTGAACTTTCTTGTTAACTCCCTGGTAAGTCAGGCTGTTGCTGCCAACGGCCCGCAAATCATCACAGCTTGTCTGGTTTGGTCCATATTGCGGGTAGTGGTCCAGTTTCCTCTTGATTTTTTTTTTTTGAAGCAATATGTTGGTTATATAAGTTATGAGCGAGGTGCGTTGGTAAGTGTGGACCTTCTTGGAGGCACGTTCCTTCACGCGCGACGGGAGTAAAGCCCCAACGGAGACTAGATGGTCAGTGGTGGAAGGAGGAAGAGGTTGGTTGGTGGAGGGATCCACATCGAGGCCACACGGTCACTACTGACTCTTGCATTCCTGAGGTGGTCACCTAGAGCATCACGCCGGCCACTACAATCACCATAACCACTTTCCAGTCAGCTGCACCAATCAACAACATTAGCCACGCCAATTACTATCACCACCGTGAACCACTCAAAACAATAAAAACTGACACAGACGCAAACCCACATACAGATCAACATGCCTTTAAATATACATGAACGGCTCAGTTTATACCAGGTTTGGTTTTGCTAAACCAGAGTGAGCCACTCATATATACTAACGGGGTTCGTTAAGACTGAGTTATCACTAACTCGTTTATACTAGACTGGGGGTTCACTAAATCAATGAACCACTTACTCATCTATATCAGACTGAGGAGCGTTGAGCTAGTGAGCCAATAACTTGTTTATTCCAGGCTCGTTAAGTCACTGAACTACTTATACAAAGCGGGGTTCACTGACTTAACGAGCCCCCGGCTATAAACGAGACTGGTATAAACAAGTTAGTGGTTCGATTTGGTTCAACGCTCTCAGCCTGGCATAAATGAGTAAGTGGTTCACTGGTTTCGCGAACCCCCCAGTCTAGTATAAACGAGTTAGTGACGACTCAACCTTAACGAACCCCATTTAGTATATACGAATGGCTCACTCTGGTTTAATAACCCTAACCTGGTAAACACGAGTTTGCTGTTTGTTTTGGTTTAAGGAAACCTCACCTGGTATAACCGGGTGTGTTCACCCTGGCTAAACGAACCTCCACCTGATATAACCGAGTATGTGGTTCACTCTGGCTAAACGAACCTCCAGCTGGAACAAAAGTCAACGGCTCATCCGGAAAAAAATTATAACTGTCGATAATATTAAGTAATGCTACTGCCATATTTGTTGATCTAAAGTTCTGAACCTTGATGATGGCGAATGAATCAAAGAAACTGGAACTACCCCACCCCCCCTTTCCTGGATCAAACCCGGGCTTAACTCTTAACTCTGATGCGTTCCGAGAGTGATTCTACTCCTGGAACCCGGCCATAGACCAAAAGCATTTCTTAAAACAGAAGTCTTGATCTTTTTCACGAGTCCAATAACTCAGACTGGAAAGGAAGCTCCGGACCATCCATTCTGACCACTATCAATCATAAATGAGAAAATT